ATACTGACTTATAATTATATAAATCTATAGTATTTTAAATAAAAATAATTATTATTATATTATATAAGTAGAATATAAATCTTTTTTATTGTATATAAATAATAAAATATTTCTACATAAAAAAAATAAACACAATATAATAAAATAATTAAAAAGATTAATCTACAATTAAAATTAAATAAATCAAAGCCAAAAGACAAAAGAAAGTGCAAATGGAGTTTGGGTTTTCAATGCGGGGTACAACTCGGCGGGTTGAATCAGGCGAGCTGCAGCGGCAAGCGGCAGCACTGCCGGCAACACAGGCAGCACCAGTGGCAACGCAGCATCGATGGCAAGGCAAAATCAGTGCAACGATGGAGTTCTAGAGATGGAGATTCTGCCATCGCCAGAGAAGACGAACAACTAATTCTAAAATTCTTAATTATCATCCATAATCTCAGAATAATTTAGTTTCTAAAATCGTTCAAGATCGCACAATCTCACGATCTCGCGATTTTGTGCGCGATCTTCGATTGATTCTTCAAGACCCACGATTTTTGTCCGATTCAGATCGTTGAAGCCCCTTAACATGTAAAATGTGCGATCTTAGGATTTAGATCACGATTTTAACAACCATGCCTAGAATTACTAAATAAGTCATACCTTTGGAGTCTTGAAGCATATTTATCATGCAAGGCATACCACATCAGCACCCTGTCAATTTCAAAACATTGAAATTCAGAGAGTTCAAATTCGGATAATCAATATATGTGATTTAATTTGATTCAGCAAGCAGATTGGTGTCATTTTCACCATCAAAATTTTTTAACTTTGCCTCATTTTGCCACATCGTCTACAACTTTAGTTAAGGATAAGGATCTCCCATTCCTCCGGCATCTTCTTCATTCCACCCATTTCCAGATTATGCACAAGGATATCTTTCCTCCCCTGAATAATTTTTACATTTACAGAAACAGAGTAGTACAAAAAAACACAAGAACAAGAACAGATGTAAACAATTTCCTTTCATATAAATTTACAATTTCTGTTGGAGTTGTGGTGTCAAAGCTGCAATACAGTGGCAGCAAAGGGACAGCCACATGGAGCTGCACAAAATGGCAGCAAATATTTTGAATAAAATGTTGCTTTAAATGTTTGATAGATTTTCTTGTATTAGGTAAATATTACGTGAGAAAAATATTGTTTTTTATTGTATTATTTTTGCTATTTATAGCAGAATATCAATAGAAGAAAATGAGTTTTCACCTCATCAAAAAATAGAGAACTCCGGGTTTCTCCTTCTCCTCCAAGTCCTCTCTCCACCCTTTCCCAAGAAAACCCCAACAACTTCAATTTATTGCACCAGTTTCCCTCGTTTGATCCATCAACCCTTGGAAACAAGGTCTCCATATTCTTGAATAGAATTACTTGCTGTTAAAGTTGAGAAGGCAACCCTTCATTTATCAACAAGCCTTAAACCAATCTAAAGAAGAAATAATGCTGCCATCCTCAGCCATTGTATTCAAAGAAAGTAGAGATTCCTCAAGGATCATTTCTAGATCATCAATGTAAAGAGGCTCTGAAAAGAATGTAATTCCCAAAATTGAATCAAACCGAAGAAACAAAAAAATTGCACTAAGAAATCATGAATAAAGAATTAGAAAATTCGGGCAATCGAAAATTCACAAAATCAAAACAAAAGTTGGCAAATTTAATCATACACGAGCAGAACTCAAACTTATTCCAGACATACAGCTAAAAAAAAAAAAGAAGGAATGGAAAAGGAAGAATTATGGGGGAAAAGCGACCACCTTTTGAGCTGTTAAAGAAGGAGAAGACATCGGAGAGGAGGAGCTCAGCCCCACTCGTTTTCGACGGCCAGTTGCAGAACCGATCACCGAGGCAGAAGTAAACCTATTCCTTCCCAGAACAACGGCACCGATTCTGCCGTCAACTGTCTGCTATCCATTGCTCTTTGCTTGCTGCTGAGACCGACTTGAGTATGTAAAACCCTAAAAACAAGCAGATGAATACTCTTCCTACCTGTTCCAGGAAGTAGAAGAGAAGGCGTTGGTCTCCATGGATGTTCTGTTCACGGATAAGGAAACCCAACCCATTTACAAATGGGCTATTGGGTTGGGTTGGGTTGGGTTAGGTTATGAATCTAATCACCAAATTCGGTCCATTTAATTCAACCTAATTCGGCTTCGGCCCAATGGGAAAATCCTACCCAATCAAAGTGATTTTTTTTTTTACATAAATTTTGATGATGAATTATATAATAAAAAATATATTTTTTTGAAATTACTGTTCAAAACTCAAAGTTGAAAATTTTAACTTAAAATCTTAAAATTTTAATTAGTTTACACCTACTCAGTCAAAGTGAATAATTCTTACCCATCCAACTTTAATTATTATATTTTTTAATTAAATTCGTTTTTAAA